TTCTGGAGGCTCATGGGGCCGAGGAACAGAAGAGGTGGACATGCCTCAGCCAGGCGGGGAGGCACGGGGCAGTGGCCCCAGTGGAGGAGAGAGCAAGGGGTCCGATCAGAGCGTGAGGCAGGGCTGCCAGCCTGGGGTGTGGGTGGGAGGGGACACCAGACAGGGCCCTCCGCCTTAGCAGAGCGGACCAGGGTCAGAGGGGATAGGCCTGGCTGGCTCTGGGGGCCTGAGATGCCCTGCACCGCTGGCACCATGCACGGAGGACAGCCAGGGCAGGGCAAGTCCCCCCCATGCTGAGGGGCATTCAGGCTCAGGAAAGACGTGGGCTGAAGGAGGCCTCTGGGGAGAGCAAGGAGCTGGACAGGCCCCAGAGCAGGGGTGGCCAGGCCAGGGGCACTGGCTGGGAGGGGCCCTGATGAGCTCAGCAAGCCATGCCAGGAAGGCCTGAGGAGGGTCCAGTGCGTCTGGGGCAGGGCCGGGGGCCGGGGCTGCTTGGCTGCAGATCGACCCAGAAGACGTGAGGCCTGGAGGGCCATTGGCGGGCCTTGTTGAGGGCTCTGGGCTGAGGGGCATGGGCAGTGGGTGGACGTTCCCGCTGGTCCAAGGCACAACCAGGCCGGGACAGCATGGCAGTGGACTCAGGGGGCTAGCAGGAGCCGGCTGGGAGCAGGGGCCACAGGTCAGGGCTCAGACAGAGGGCTCGGTCAGGCTGGACACCCAGAGGAAGCCTGAACGGGGACCCAACACCTGAGTCCCAGGGGACTCTGACCCATGTGGTCACCCAGCACTGACCAAGCTCATGAGTCCAGCACCTGTGGCCGCAGGGACCTAGGCCAGGCAGCTGGTCTGCACATGTCCAGGAAGCATATGGGCACAGGGCCCAGGGGCACCCCAGCCTGGGCACCTGCTGTCCTGCCCCGACCCTGGCAGGGGTGAGAGCCTGGTGGTCACACAGCCTCCTCTCTTGCAGCCTCCACCACGGCCCCATCGGTGTTCCCACTGGCCCCCAGGTGCGAGACCACACCCTGCTCCACAGTGGTCCTGGCCTGCCTGGTGTCCGGCTACTTCCCCGAGCCTGTGACTATGTCCTGGAACTCCGGCTCCCTGACCAGTGGTGTGCACACCTTCCCGTCCGTCCTGCAGTCCTCAGGGCTCTACTCTCTCAGCAGCATGGTGACAGTGCCCTCCAGCAGGTGGCCCAGTGACACCTTCATCTGCACCGTGGCCCACCCGGCCAGTAAGACCAAGGTGGACAAGCCAGGTGAGACCACAGGTCACAGAGGGGGCGTCCACTGGGAGACAGGCCAGGTCAGCTGGCCGCCTGGACCCCAGGGCACAGGGGAAGCACCGCTGCCTCCCCCACCTGAAGGTCTCCCAATTCTGGAAAGAGGTCCTCTGGGTGTTGCTGCCTGGTCCACTGTGAGCACAGGCGGCTTACCCCACTCCAGTCCCTGGTCCAGGAAGTCCCCATGACCTGACCCCCACCTACACCCACCCGAACCTGTGCCCATCCAGACACCCAGTAACGCCCACTCTGCTCTCTCTGCAGTGCCCAAAGAATGTGTCTGCAGGCTATGTCCCAAATGTCCAGGTGAGTCAGAGGACCTTGCCCTCCACCCCAAGCAGATGGGCAGCATCCAGCCACAGTCTGGTGGGGGGAATGGATGTTCAAGGAAAGCCCACCCACGTGCTGACCCCTGCACTCTGTCTCCCTTATTAGTCCCTGAAACTCCGGGAGGACCTTCAGTCTTCATCTTCCCC